ATTCACATCTCAGACGTGGCAATTTAAAAAATACACTGTGTGTGTTGGTGTGAGTGTGTCTGTGCATGCCCAAAATACTGAAAGGAGAAGTGAGGAGGAAGAGATTGCTGCCTTACCATTCCCTAGGGGCATGCACATTTACCCTCTAGCAAATTGAAATAAAAAAAAGACACCAACCAAACCTTTGTTAGACAGATAGATGGATACTTGATGGTACTAACTGATGGGTTGCTGTTCTCGGGGCTATTCCCAGCAGCATACAAATTAGGATTAATTTAGTCATTTGCTTGTTCTCACCATCTTGAATCACTAAACATGAGAACACTCAATTCCTCTGGATCCCTCGCAGTTTTGTGATATAAAGCATCTGACCTGAAGAACCAGTACATGCATCAGTGGTTTGGGCCTGTAAAATGCACCAGCAGCAATAGCAGCAGGGGCTGCAACAGCAGAGCATAATGGTGGGACACTTGAGATGCTCCAGACTAGAGATCCCTGAGATAGCACTGATAACAGGAGTAGGAGAGGAGCTATTGAAGCTGACTGGCACCATTACCATGGAGAAATTTAATCTTAAGTTCTCAAAAGGGTGATTAGCATTATTACTGTGATACTTTGGTTTATTAATAATTTTAATTAAAAAGTTTTTTAGGTACAATGCCCTGTTGTTCACATGTAAATAATGTTTATGACATGATTGTTATATACAATGGTCAACTGGAAACACTAAGGTCACATTCCTCCCCATTCTAAACATGACATGAGTAATCACTTTACCTCTTACTTAGCCCCAAATGCCCATGTCTCCTCCTAACTGTATAGTAAATTCTGCTGAACTATGTTTTGACAGAAAAAAGATAGTACCACTGACTTGTTGATGCTATACGCTGTCTAAGAGCATGTTTCCCAAAACACAATAGGTAAACCACACACATTTAGTCAGGAAAGGCATGCTGTGTTGTGGTAACAAATAAATCAAGAAGTTTAACAATAACAAGCTTAGTTCTACTCATTGAAAGATTTCTGTGAGTCTGGGTCACGTAGCAGCACAATTGCCCCCCATGTGGTGATGCTTTAGTCGCATGGGTCCACTGTTTCAACATAAGTCTTCCTCTTCTGCAAGAAAGAGCTTGAGAAAGAACTTCTCAGGAGTATGTTACTGCCTTCGCCCAGATGTGACACATCACTTCTGCTCACATTTCTTGGGACATAATAAGTCAAATGGCTTCACAAAGCTGCCAAGGGACTGAGAGGTATAGTTTTCTATATACCTAGGAAGGAAAGAATGAATAGCTACTCTTGATTTTTGGTGACTACTATCTCCCACAGTATACAAGATAATTTTAAGTGTTACAGTAACAAATTGTTGTTAGATTTCAGGTATATTTGAAAAATATGAGAAACAGATCAAGCCTATAAAGTGATGGTTTCATTTTAAATACATTTAAGTTAAATTTCAGTTACAGATACTATACTATTATAACACCAATAGTAAGCATGACAAACAGATGTGAAATGTCTGGGTAACACCAGCCTAATGGAGCCTTTGTAAAATCCAAATTTGGGGCACAACTTCAGTCAAACTGGGAAGATGGAATGGAGCACAGAATCTTTTTTTCTATGAGTATGCCATATGATTCAGCTCCAGGCCACCTGGGACCATCTACTGAGAAGGACACTTCTAGAATCCAGTTGTTCTTCTGCTGTCAAAATTAAGGGACCAGTGACAGAAACAATTGTAAGGGGGCCTAGAACTTCTGATGAGTATTCATTCTCCCCCTTTTTTTTTCTCATTACCTGATTGAGCTTGCTTTACTTTCAATGATGTGAGAATACCAACAAAGGGAGATTTTGAAATGAGAGACTTGACCAGGCAAGCCATAACTTCAGAATTGGCATTTCTCTTCTCACCTGACTTTCCATTTGTCTGTTATTGTTCAAACTGGTAGCTTGGCTTTTCTCAAATCAAACACAGTATCTCCATGTATTGTTGCTCATCCCAAAATTCTTCATGTCACTAAAGTTCATTCTTGGTGCTCAGTCTTTTTTGCTTTATTTTTTTCCCATTTTCATGTTTCCCAAAGGTATCCAGAAATCTCTTCCAAGTAAAGTGACTATGATATTCTGATCTGTCTATAATATTCTTGTTTTCTATGTAATTATTAGTAGAAGACTCTTTTTACTCCCCAAAACATCTTGTTTGATGAAATATTATATATGGCCCTGGTCTTGAGGAGTCCTCTTGTTTTATTTGCGATATGAATGACTAGTTTGGTTCCAAAGACTCTGTATTGTGATGTTAGTGGCTAAAGCCATTTTTGGGGAAAATGAGGTTATGAATAATTCTGGATGTTTACCTTTCCTAATAGTCATTTGGGCAGGGGGCATCATCTATATGTTGTCTGCAGCTTAGAGAGAGATAGAAGGGCATACAGACAAGTTAAATGGAATAAGCAATGACACTGAAGATTGACAAATAAACCAAAACACCATAAGAGGAAACTAAGGAATCTATTATTCTGGCATTTACTTCAAAATTGCCCCAATCTGGGACCAGCAGTTGGCATAATGGCTATGTCGCTGGACTCCCGTATAGTTGACTGCAGTTCAAGTCCCACACCTGGTGGCTTAAGCTCACGCTAGGTGTGTGCATGCATGCCCAGGATCCCGAAAGGAGAATAGAGAAGAAAGGATTGTAGCATGGTCATCCCCCCGGGGGGGGATTTCTCGCTTTCTGTCTCTGTCTCTCGGGCGAGGGCACGTGCCCTATAGCAAAAACCTATCCAAAAAAAAAAAAGCCCTAACCTAATCTCTAATGCCATGTAAAACCAAAGGTGAATCATGACATTTATAACACTTATTCCCATAGACATTTAATGGTGTGAATTTTGGTACTAATGAAATGTTAAAAACGCTTACATTGCCTCAGTTCCATAATGGAGTTAATACAGGCACTGTGCAATCTTCAGTAAAATTTCAGTTATACGAGAGTGTCCATAGATTTCCACGTAGGCACAACATTTACTTTTCCCAGAATCCTATCACTAGATCACATATATAAAAGCTGCTTTTACTTTCTAGTTAACTTTAATATTGGAAGAAAGTGAAAGAAGACTTTTAGAGCACACTATATCACATTTAGGGCAACCTTGAGGTCTGTAGCTCATCAGACTAGCTTTTAAAATATGCAAGTGCCCACAGAGACCACCCCAGGTTAAAAGTCTCTAAATACTTCATGCTATTTTACTGTTAAATAATGTTTAGAGTTGTTATCTTTTGTAGACCTTGGAAATCTAATTATTTATAATATCCAGTGACATTTACATTTTGCTAAATATACTCTGCTTGTATAAGACATTTCATGCCTAGAAATAAGGGGAAAGAATGCCTGGCTGTACATTTGCTTATTCATAATGTGAAACATCAGGATGACTTGTGTTGTCTTTTTGTTAGAATTGATTTAAAAAACAATTGTCTCAAAGTGCCCTTGGCCATGGCCACTTAAAATACAGAATAAGAAAAAGTTATCATAATTGAGGTCATTTGCATACCACTTAACTCTCAACTATCAAATCAAATATCCATTCAAGTTTATTGGTATCTTCAAATGATACCATTTATTTCCATGCCACAGCTCCAGAGGGTTTGGTTTAGTTTTGAGATTGATTGAAAGTAGAGTATAAAGCTGACCTATTGCTTTAAGCTTATTTACACAAACATGGTGTCTTGGAAAATAAACTCTGAAAGTACATAGCAGGTGAATCTCCATGTTTTTCCCAACTTTCGTTTTCTAAAGATCTGCTTTACAGAGATTCAGTGGGTAGAGAATCTCAGCTTTACCATAGTCTACCTTACCTAGGAGAAAATTACTTCGAAACTTATTCTTACATTAGAAGTGAAATTTATGACTTTAGAAAAAAGAATTTGTTCATTTTATTTGAAGAACTTGCGGAGGCAAATCACTTCTTAGTTCTAGCACAACCATGAGACATTCATAAGTGACATCTTTTTCAGACTCTTGAAACACCCTTTACTTAAAGAGTTAAATACAACTTTTTAAGATATAAGCCACACACAAAGCCTTACTCCTGTAAAAATCTATATGAAAACAGTGAAAAATCAATGCGGGGCACAGGCTGGTTCCAGATAGATTATTTTTAAAAAGAAGTTGTACAATTTCAAGGATTAATCTTTGTGAGCGGGCATTTCCAAGCCCTTCCTGACGCCACATCCTTGTCTGTTACATATTCTTCAATAATCAGCCTATCATCTATCATTTCCCTCGCCAGCCCTGATTCCCCGGCTTCCCCATTAGAACGCGGACTTGCCTCCTGCCACTGAGGAGCGCGGGGCAGGGGGCAGGTTATAACTGGGAGGGAGGATGAGCTGAGAGCAGGGCACGTGGACCAGAAAGACTTCCTAGAAACAGCAAGTAAGCCGCTCAACCCTGCCTGAACTTTCCCGTAAACACCGCGCACTGACAGACGGCATCCCTGCTGGGTGGATCCGCAACTCCTAGAGGGAATGGCACGTCTTGTTTTTAATTAGCAAGGTGAAAGGTGAATTAAAACTAGCTGTTTGGCAAGTCAGTGCAAGAGGCTGACTTCTGAGAGGTTTTGACGAGCCAGAGGAGAAAAGCTCCACAGGGGAAGGCAGTGCGTGTGCCCGGGGTGTTTTTTTTTTTTTTTTTTTTTTTCAGGGGTGGCTTTGATAAGAGCCTGTTTTGTTTTTGTTTTTAGTAATTTTTGCTATAGGGCCCATGTTCTCCTCAGAGGGAGACAGAGAGAGGGAAAGTAAGGAAGCAAAAGCTTTTCTTTCTAATAGATTTTATTTGCATGTTTGGCCCAGGCTTTTATTCTCCCATCTGTAGTTTCTTTTATTTTCCTTTTTTTTCTTTTGAGAGAGATGTTGGCCTGGAAGTTAATGTGGCTGGACAGATGAGAAATTTATTGCTAAGCCAAATTATGAAATTTTTTTTTTTTTTCTGAATGAATCGCTTGCAGAAGTGACTGAAAAATACAGCTTCTTCCTGAATGTACCGGCTTAGTTACTGAAGAGAGCTCTAGACAGGACATGTCTCTGAAGCCTCACTCCTTGGAATGTCCTCTCGCTCCCGGCTTATAAACAACTGTCCTGGGCAAAGAAAGGTTTTACGTTTCCAAATACAGCCTGACAAATGGCACTTTGGGACTGTGCTTTCTGATGACAAGGCGTTCGATTTCTGACAAAGCCTCTTGCACGCTGCCCCTGGAGGGAAGTCCTAAGTAAAACTCAGACCCTCCTGAAGTGAGGCTCCGAGGGCTTGCAGCGACCGGCAGCATGGCAGCCGCCGGGCACCTTATCACCTTGCTCCTGTGGGGTTACTTACTGGAGCTTTGGACAGGAGGTCACACAGCTGACACCCCTCACCCCCGCTTACGCCTGTCACATAAAGGTAGGTTACCTTTTGTTTCAAATAATGAAAATAAAAAAGTCGTTTAACATGTTTATGGTCTTCAACTGCAATTACTATACTATGTAGACCTTATCTGAAAATAGTGCAATATCATGTATCAACTTAGAGATGTTAATATTGTCTCATAAATATTAGATTTTATTAATGAGAAGTTCACTCACTAGGGGACTGAACAGAAGGTAGGAAGCAGGTTGTAAATAGCCCTTGAGAGGCTGAATCCACCAGTTAGCAGTAGGTATTTAAATATCAATGTATGCATTATGGAAAACAAGGATGTTGGGGAAGGGCTTTAGACATGAAGGTACAATTGCTTTTTCTCCCCCCCCCCCACCTATAATGGGGATAAGAGATATGGAGAAAATTCCTGAGGAGAAAAAAAATGATGCCCTATCCATGATACCACAGTCATCACCATGTAATTAAAATGACTAGCAACTAATATCAATTAGTTTTCTAATTGAATTGGTTATTAGAATTTTTTTTTATGTGTGATGAAATGAAGTATGGAATTTATTGGCAATCTTTGTAAACTGACTTATGTTGAGTAAAGTATTAGTATTCATGAGCATTTATTTTTGTAAGGTAAATTCATATTGCTTTACAAAGATTTGCCAATCAGAGTGTTTAAATATTTTATTCTGCAATTATGTCTGGTAAAGCAACATTATGCTCATAAATAAATGATCAAAAGATAGGTTTTGCATCAAGAAGTAAAAGCCAGTCATGAAGAGGTTTCGTGATTCCTTCTGTGAACAAACAAACGACAGATACAACTCACACTTTAAGGTGACTTTGCTGACTTTAAAGAAATTTGGAATAAATTATCAAGAAAGAAGTATTTATTATCACCAACCATTGAGATAGATAACAGATGCAAAATAAGGATTACATAACAACCATTTTAAAATCATGTAAGCTTTTAAATTGTCCTCTACTGTAGAAGAACAGAAGTTTGTATTTTCAGAATACTTATCAGAATATTTATCAGAAGAAATAAAAACCCTCAATTTTACATAATATGATTGGCCTTTGTCTTTTTATTGGACAACTGCTGGTAAATATTAAGTATAGAAATTTGTTATTTTTAAAATAGTTAAAAGTATAGATTTTTTCAGTTTCAATATACTTCCTATACTATTTTCCAGTAGATAATATAAATTTATGAAAAACATTGCCACTTAATTTGTAAACTATTTAAAATATTGTGTTCAACACTAGCACACTTCTTTTTTTTTATTTGGGAAGATGTATCATGGCATATATCAAAATGCCAATTTCTAATAAGTTAAATATTATCAAGATAAAAATTCAATGTGATAGAATATGAATAAATAAGGAAAAACTAGTTTAAATGTACACTTTTCTTTATGTGGACAAGTGGAGAAGCTGTCAGTTTTGACAAGCTACCATTCTGTCATGCCCATATTAACCTTTTTTACCTCTTTGTTGGGGTATTTGTTTTTTGAAACTGAATATTAGTATGTTTGCCAGGGTGTGTAGTTTTAACATTTTGCTAGAGAGATTATATTATTGCTAGAGCACACCACTGTCCTCTGCTACAAGAAAATGTTATGCATGATATTATCATCAAGCTCATCTTCACTATGTGTCTCTTAGCTAAAGAAATAACTGTAACTGATTTTCTGAGTTGTGTCATAGCATGTGGGAGTAGTATTGCTAGTATCTCTGTGTACGCTAGACTGAGAACTCCCACAAGATTTCCTTTTGGCTTTTCTTAACCTTCTGATTTAGAGGAACCCGCTGAAAATGCACAATATTATACTCTTAGAAAATGTAGAGTGTTCACCTGAAAATAAAATTTCCTCAGAGACTGTAGAGTGTTCACCTGAAAATAAAATTTCCTTGCTTGTGCAATTTAGTTAGCAAAGGTAGCCAGGGGAGAGCATCAGAGATTTAACCTGAAGCTGCAAATTCCTATTGCTCCACAGTGCTTCAGTGGAAAGGAAGGCACGCATAGGGTCAGAGCAGGAATACTGAGTTCCACCAGTGCGATGTGAACTGTTCATTCACCTCTCCACATTCTGGTATTCAGTGGACATTTGAGAGGTATTCAAACGCTAGGAGTAAGATATTTCAGATTAGTCTTCTGTTCTCTTTAATTACGTCAGTAATGGTAAATTTTGAGGAGTGTGTAAATTTAGGTGATTAAATATTACAAAGGAGTACTGAGGCTTTTTAATTCAGAGATGCTGGATATAGGTAACATAGTACCTCTGCACTGCTATGTGACCCTCCCAGCAGAGAAATCCAGTAGACTTCCTGGAGGAGGTCTACTGAAGTAACACAGGAATTCTTTTCATAGCAGTGGTCTATGCCATATGAGAGAAAGCCAAGCGTTTTCCTTATCTCCTCTACTTTCAAAATAGCATCTGAACCACAGGTCTTGTCTCTTCTCCTAAGAAGGAGGATAAAGTTTACTTGTCTTATACAAAGCATGAGTTGAACTATATAAAAATATGCTCTGAAAAAGAAGTTCAGAGAACTCACCTTTTCAAGCTGTTTTCTCTATCATCCTGTGTTTCCAAAAGTGGCATTTTCTCAAACACACTTTGGAAGGAAGAGACTATTATGCTATTATGATTAAGAGGAAAACAGAGAGGGAGGGAAGTAGACAGGTAAGAAGGTAACAGACATAGAGCATCTTTGCTTTTGTTTCCTGCTGTCCTCCAACCACAATGGGATAATATCGAATTCCTCTCTCTTCTTTGCAAATATCCTACTCCTGATATTAGAAATATGCTACCTTAGGCAACCCTATTGGATAAAAAGACAAGACACTTACTGTCAATGAGACAATACATGTATTCCCTAATGTAATTTATTGGTACAAAATAAGTTGCATTAATTAATAAAATGTGGCAACGATTAAAATGGCAAGATGTTGTCTCTCTTGGGACAAGTTTCCAGTCAAGATATGAGTTGAGACTGACGATATCAGGCAAATATTTCAAAGTTTATGAATATCTATGTATTATAGGTAACTTTACCCCAGCAAAAGAGGTTGATATCAATGTGATAAAAAGCAAAATTGTAATACTCTGTTTCAAAGGTTTATTGGCAAATAGTTATGATCCTGTTGACTGAAATCAGGAAAATGAATTAAGAAAAAGGCAGACTCCAGATAGATTTAGCCACTTCTCTCTGATGTCTGTTCTCTCCTCATCTTTTACCATCTTGCATTAATGAAGTTACAGGGAAGGCAAAAATAACTTTTCTTGATAAAGGAGCTCAAGGGAAAAAAAATACAAATGAGTAACACTTCAGGCCAAAGAAGAAATCCCAATACATGTGGAAAGCCCCAGAAAGTCAATGAAGGGAGTTGGGCAGTTGGAGTAGGTGCTGGAAATCACAGCGAGGAAGGACACAGTCACAGAAGCTAAGGAGGATGACTGCTCAAGGAGAGAGTGTTCTCCTATGATGTCTGCTGAAGAGGTGGTAGAAGATCATTCCTGAAATATGCTGACATTATAAATGCAGATCGAAGCATTGAATATATGTCTATCCATACAAAATGCGCGATAGGGAGTGTTAATTGGTGTATCTGTGATTGGGTAGGATAACCAATTAAATCCAGATTTGTCAGAGTTCAGAGAACTCAGGATTTGAAATCAAACGTCTCTACTCTGGACCATCTGATCCTTCCATTTATAATTATGGTAGATGTTCCTCATATTCCTTAACTTGAAAGCAGGAATATTACTGGTGATTTTCCCGTATGTCTCGCTGGGATTTAAAAGGATTAAACGGAACAATTTCTGCGAATGTACTTTATCGCCTAAAGTTATTTATATCATTGATGTTTCCTAAAGACTGATAAAAATTGAGAATGTTGAAAGAAAACATATCCTGAAGAGAAAAACTCATATAAATGGCATGAGTTTACATTTCAGTCAGTACTAGGATAATGGTTATACAGAAAACAAAAGCGATTTGTCTTAAATAGCATAAAAAATGTAGTTTATCCTGATATACTGCATTCACAGCAAATTACATATTTCATAACTTTAACCTCTAGTCATAATAACCTAGAAGATCATTAGAACACTTTTGCATATTCCAAAATTCATGGCCAGTGTATTTTTGTTATTAAAGAGTGTGTGTGTGTTTGTGTGTGTGTGTGTGTATATATATATACATATCCATTCCACACTATGTATTTTATAATTCTATTCATTATAGGGAACAAACTGACATAGAATTTAAAAAAGCACTTGCTAAATAAAAGTTTTAAATAATCATCCTGGAAGCTGTGATATTTATTTTATATCCAGAGCAAATAAAAAAAAAAAAAAAAAAAAAACTAAGGCAGTGACTGAGCCAGTTCCCCTAACCTAGTTCATAGCTTTGATTTCTTAGTCAGTAGCTAGGTTCTTTCAATCATAACTGACATTAGTCATGCATCCCTACGCTAATAAATAAAACCAGTGCCATAAGGAATTATTTGTAAACAGGGAAGTCCAATAGGTTCCAGGAGGACACACCAACCTGTACAGCCAAAACTCCTTTATGGAGAGTCAGTAAGAATTAAGTGGTAAATTTATAAGGAAACACATAGTTTATATTTTCACAACACACCAAGAAAGGTGTGAGAAATTACAATATGTTTCCCTGAGTTTGGTTTACACAAAATATGCTTTCTATATAAGAAGTCTATTGGGGATTTTAGATACTATTATTCTTTTTTTTGTTGCTGTTGTTTTTGCCACTGGACACATGCACTCACTGGAGAGAGACAAAGGGAGAGATAGAGAAAGAAGGTGAGACATCACCCCGAAGGCGAGGATAGCTATGCCACAATCCTCTCTCCTCCATTCTCCTTTCAAGATTTTGGGCATGCATGCACATGCACCTGGTGTGTTTTTCAAGCTGCTAGGTCTGGGATCCTTGAACGTCCAAGTAGGATCTAGCTGCCTTAACCACCATGCCACTGGCTGGCCCATATAGTGTTATTTTTGTGT